ATTTTTTATTGAAACAATCAAAGAATCAGTTGACCTTTAATGTGCACACAATTTCAACTAAGAAGATGTTATAATTTCGTTGAAAAAAGCAACAATAATTTAACATCATCAAAACTTGAAATTGATCAAATAATTGAGGAATTTTACACACTTTACTAACTTAAAAATCGTTAATTTTAGAGAAAATCAATAAAAATTGTGCATTCTCACAAGGTTTTCAAAAATAATTTGTTTATCCGTACAAAGATGGCGTCTCGTCCCCCATCATTAAACAATCGCTTTAAAACCTAACCTAGGAATACATTGAAATTTCAAGAAAACTTCTACTAGTTTTCATTAAAACATAAGTAAAGTGTGTAAAATTCCTCAATTATTTGATCAATTTCAAGTTTTGATGATGTTAAATTATTATTGCTTTTTCAACGAAATTATAACATTTTCTTAGTTGAAATTGTGTGCACATTAAAGGTCAACTGATTCTTTGATTGTTTCAATAAATAATGTAACTTAAAAATCGTTAATAAAAATTGTTGAGAATGCACAAGGTTTTCAAAAATATTTTGTTTATCCGTACATAGATGGCGTCTTCTCTACCATCATTAAACAATCGCTTTAAAACCTAACCTCAAGTGAAATGTAGAGAGGAAAAGTAGAAAAAGGAAACCTAAACTAGAAATACATTCAAATTGATGGTTTGTTTCACTTTTAATACACTTAAAAGTTGTATTTAATTGAAATGCGAAAGTAGTAAAAACGAATTTGTGTTTATTTAAAAAATATCTTGTATATATATATAAAAAAAACGTATTGTATATATATTTACATGTTGAATAAAGATTCAAATACAAAACTGGACGGATTTGAACATCACTGGATAATAAAAAAAAAAACTTATGTCTAATCGTTATGGAATCAAACGATCTTCAATAGGAAGAAACATACTATGGATATGAGCAACGAAGGGGAGAGACCTTTCAGACTTCCCGTGTTGCATCCATCCTTGCTGTTGCACGTGCAGTATTCCATGAATATGTTATACGTGCCAGTCCTCATCAAACAAAACCTCTCATCACCTTGGATACCAGGTTCACCGAGATAAGCGCAGCTTCTGATGTACCTCCACACACCATGAACTAAAAAAAAAGATGAAATGTTAAAAAAAATTATACTATCGTAAAGACAAAAATTTCTCACTTTTTTGCCTGATCTTCCTGCACATCGTCGACTGCAGATTACCAAGATGCGCCAATTTCTGTTGCTTGCAATCAGTGATTGCGAATGTTGTATTGTCGAAGGGATCCGAGCATTTTGGATCAGCGTCCGAGCGACAATCCCAACACTTAATTGACCAACCTAAGATCAGATCGATTAATGAATAAATGAATCACTTTTAATTAATAACTATATATCAAGTAGGTTGTATGTAAACAAAACACAAACATTATCTTATCTAACACCTACCTGTAGCGAACACAGCACAAAGCACCAACGCACAATACAAATACTTCATCTTCTCCACTTTAAGTTTGGCTAATTGATGGTTTTAAAAGAGGAAAACTTTTCGAATGATCATCAACAATCGAGCTTCTTAACGATGACCGCTGTCGTGTCCCGGGGATGGAATTTGGACACAGTGGATCTTCTTATATTTCTGCAGTGGTGGAGTCTGAAGAGGGTTTTAGTGAAAGGTAGACGAAAGTCAATGAACACAATAATATATTTTCAACACTAGTAAATATAAGTATCTCAACTCGTAGCTTGGGTTGCCTTCTAAACTCACTCTTAGACTAACTTTGTATTACATAAACATCCTATTTTATAGTAGAATTAACATAGTGGGAGTACAATATTTGGAAGGATAGACTAGACTTTCCCTAATATTAAGTCATTAGGCAGATGTGATTAACAATAGTGAATAAGAATAGTCGTTACACAATTATTAGTTATGGGATTTNTCTAGGTTTGAGTTTGTTCACAACATAGTGATTAAGAATAGTCGTTACACAATGATTAGTTATGGGATTTTAATAAGTGGTATTTGTTCTAAGTCTTAATGACTTATAATGATTAAATAAACATGTATAAAATAATAAGGGCTAACATAATATAAACAATAACGGTTATACATAACACCGCAAATGATGACGAAAACATAGGCGGCGACGCCACCAACGCCTGCTGGTTGAAGACGCGGGAGTTTCGAAAGCGACGAAGAAAACGTATGCAACCGAACTTACGTAACTTAACGCAAAAAAAAACAACTTTTCAAAAACTGTTGATTACAGCCGAACTGTAATAGCTAGAAATCTCGTTAAGGGCGCGTTGGAAAGCCTAAATATTGATCTTAAATTAGTCATCGATAAAAATGTGAAGATATGATAGGATAGGATATAAAATGGATGTTTTAGGTTTACCTTTTTTTTCGGGGAATCGCAGTCGGCCGATGAAAAATATAAATTTGTATAATGTTTAAATCGTAGGTAAGTAATAATAAATATTAGAAATAGTTTGAATTGTGCTAAGGGTAACGGCCGGAGCCTTC